AAATGTTCATTTTGTTTTGGAATAAAGAAGAGAAAAGAAGACAGTTGGTGTTGCTCATTGGCAAATGTTTCAATATTGAGTTACTATTAGTTAATTAAAAAGAAATGAATATATTTTATGTTCCTGACATCTGCTAGTTCATCCTAAGAATTTAAATTTTTTAATTATTTTTCTCAGTTGGGAATTTTTTTTGTCTGTAAGTAACAAAATTTTAAAGCATTCATTATAGAAGCTCAAGCCTGTAATCCCAGCACTTTGGGAAGCCGAGGCGGGTGGATCACAAGGTTAAGAGATTGAGACCATCCTGGTAAACATGGTGAAACCCCGTCTCTACTAAAAATACAAAAAATTAGCTGGGCATGGTGGCGTGTGTCTGTAATCCCAGCTACTTGGGAGGCTGAGGCAGGAGAATTGCCTGAACCCAGGAGGCAGAGGTTGTGGTGAGCCGAGATTACGCCATTGCACTCCAGCCTGGGTAACAAGAGCAAAACTCCATCTCAAAAAAAAAAAAGAGTAATTTTTTTCCTTTTCTTCCCAGTTGTTCATTGAGTGCTAACTACGTAACTGGTATTGTGTTAGGTTCTTGGGTTACAAGAATTGTTCTTTCTGTACCTTTGACTGTTTTATAACTCTTGCTTAATTTTGACTGTAACTTTTTATGAAAGTAATAAACAAGATAGATATGGTCTGCATGTATTAATGGAGCTTATATTCCTGGGAGGAGGGGCTTTTATCAGTTCATTTATCAGTTTTATCAGTGTGTTATTTATATATAATTCTCACAGGGAAAGCTTATATCTTTTTATATTCTAGTTGTCTTTTTTGTTGCTTTCAGAAAGAGCCTGATTTTTTTCTATAGCTGTGAGTTGTTGATGTATCTAAAATTGACTCAAATATTCCAGGAGTAGTTTCTAGGTGAGAGTTTTATTAAGGAAGATCACAGTATATGAAGTGATGTCTTCATATATGCTATCAAATAACATTTCATATTTTTAGGTAACAAATTCACTCTCTTTAAAGCTTTTTATGCTAATTGAATTGTGGTTTCTGATTTCTGCATAGGTCATTATTGTTTTTAAGTTGAATTCCTGTTACTGTTTTCTAAAGCAATATCAACTTACTGATATTTGTAACTATTCATTTTTAAAAATATTTCTGAACTTAACAGGAGTTACATCGAACTTTTTAAAGCAGTGAGCTCTGAACCCATAAAATAACCAAATGCTAATTTTTGCTATAGCTTACTAGTTTTCTGTGAATTTAAATATGTTTACATTTATTTTTAGGAATATCTATGGCCTGTTCATTAAGCAGATGTTTATTGAGACTTTATTGTATGCTGAGGACTAAAGTAGTAAACAAGATAGACATCGTCTGTGTGTACTAATGAACCTTATATGCTTCGGGGAGGGGGTCTACCAGTTTATTTGTCAGTTTTATCAGTGTGCTTGACTCTATAAATTAGTCATAAAGTCAACATATCAATATTAAGATAGCTTTACTTGTTTTTGTTTTTTTTAGAAAAGACTATCTTATATAATTATATGTATTGAAAACATAAATCATATATTCACTATTCTTTTGAAAAGTGCTTTTGGGCCAGGCACAGTGGCTCATACCTGTAATCCCAGCACTTTGGAATGCTGAGATGGGTGGATCACCTGGGGTCAGGAGTTTGAGACCAGCCTGGCCAACATGGCGAAACCCTATCTTTACCAAATACAAAAAGTAAGGTGATGCATGTCTGTAATCCCAGCTCCTCAAGAGGGTGAGGGAAGAGAATTGCTTGAGCCTGGGAGGCAGAGGTTATGGTGAGCCGAGATCATGCCACTGTACTCCAGCCTAGGTGACAGAGTGAGACTCTGTCTCAAAAAAAAAAAAAAAAAAAAAGAAACCAATATATTTACTTTTTTCTATAAAAGAATTGGGTTACTTTTTGGTTTTACATTTAGGTTTGCTGATTTCCTCCAACATTTCTTTCTGGAATATTATTAGTTTATTTGGGATTGAAGACTTGAAATTAGATTTGTATAATATTTGAGATGTTTTATTTTATTGATTTTCTTATTAATGTTATTCTGTTTACTTGCTTTTCTTAATTATAAGATCCACATGCTTACTTTTAATGTTCTGAAGATTGGGCCATAGTTGCTGAGATTTTAAAAGATTCAAGCTAACAGTGGTTCCTTCATGTGTTACTTCTCAGTAAATTTTCAGATTATACTGCTATTATGGGACAGCTTCTTATCTTCTTAATGTTTCTTATTTAACCAAGAAGTTAAATTGACTTCTCTATTTTTAAACTTGGTAGTGGGCTATAGATGGAGGAAGCTGAAAAGACCAAAGACGAAGATGGTCCTTGATTATATTTTTATTCTGCATAACATCTGTAGTTCTTCTCATTTCTTAACACCTTGATAAGTATCATACCTGCAGGAAGTGCTAACAAATAGTATGTTGATTTGTAGACACACCTGTTTATGTGGTTTTCAAAGCACATGGCTGTACTCTTAGCAATTCTAGGCTTTTGAAAAAAAGGGTAGAGTTGTCTGCTATTCATTTCTTCTCAGAAGTCTGTCCAAAAACTGATAGAGATGACCATCTAAAGACTTTTAAGTCCCCTTCCTTCCACCAAAACCTGCTCACCCCACAGTTTTTCCCAGCTTGGTAAATACTAGTTCCATCTTTCTAGTAGTTTATTCTAGAAATTTTTAGTCATTTTTGGAGCTCTTTTTCCTATGTCTTCATTGAGTTATCAGCAGAACTTCTTGAGCCTCCCTTAAAAATAGAGTCAGAATCTGACCTATCACTTTTATCACTCCCACCCTGGTCTAGGCCACCATAATATCTTGCCTGGATCATTACAAAAGTCTCCTAACTAGTTTTCCTGCTTCAGTGGTTCTGCTCTCAATAGTCTAATTGCTGTATAGTTGTTTCTGTCCTTTGAAATGTTTGGTAATATTCCAGCAATCCCCAGCTGAACACCTTCTAATGATTTCTTGTCTTACTCAGTAGAAGCTAAAGACCTGACAATTACCTACAAGGTCCTAATTGATATTTTTGGTTGCCTCTCTGATCCATCTCTTAGTACTCACTTCCTTACTGCTACATAGCCACACTGGTCTTGTTACTGTTGCTGAAACACAGTTAAAGTACAAGCCTGCTTCAGACCTTTAAACGTGGGCTGTTCTTCCCTTAGGTATCTGCATGGCTTGCTCCCTCACTTTATTAGGTTTATGGTCAAATGTTACCTTATTAGTGAGCCCTTATCTGACTACCCTATATATAATGGCCATACCTTTACACTACTTTGTATTTCTAAGTAGCAGTAATTGCCATGCATATTTTATAGTTTATTTGCTTGTTACCTGTCTTCAATGTGATATAAACTCTACGAGGAGTGAGACTATATGTTGCCTGCTTTTCCCAGTAGCTAGGACAGTTCTTGATACATAGTTGGTGCTCAGTATATATGTGTTGAATTTATTTTTGTAGGTACTCAAAGTTACGTCTTTCTAGCAAGTTAGGTCACCAGGAAGTTTCATAGTGGACCAAATAGCTTTTATAGGCCTTTTGGAACTATATTTTAATGTTCTGCTCTAGGTCATTAGGAGAAACAGCCTCATGAAAAGCAATTTTGCATTTGGTTTATGTCGTCTTATGTAATTCAGTAGCCCTTACTGAAGATTCCAGATGAGAAATGCCTTTTGGAATTTAGTATAAGAAATCCAGTTGAGGAACAGCCTTACTCTTTACTTTTTGTTTTTGTTTGACTTTTGTTTTGACAGGGTCTTAATGCCCATCACCCAGGCTAGACTGCAGTGGTGTGATCACGGCTTACTACAGCCTCAACCTCTTATGCTCTGGTGATTCTCCCACTTCAGCCTCCCAAGTAAGCAGGGACTACAGGCGCACACCATCATGCTTGTCCAATATATTGTATTTTTAGTTGAGATGGGCTTTTGTCATTTTGTCCAGGCTGGTCTTGAACTCCTGGGCTCAAGTGATCCACTTGTTTTGGCTCTTTGGTATTACTGGTGTGAGTCACCTTGCTCAGCCAACCTTATTATTATCTGAAGGCTACAAATATTCTATTGATGGATGCATCACAATTTGTTTTAACTGGTCTTTTATTGATGGGTATCAAGCTATTGTTATAATTATTATTTTGCTGTTATAAATAGGGCGTAAGTGTGAATAGCCTTACACATATCTGGTATAATTTTATACATATATTTTCATATTATATATTTGTAGCAATATCATTTCTAGTCAAAGGGTATGTACATGTAGAATTTGATAGACCTTACCAAAGTGCCCTGAAAAGGTCACATTGATTATATATTACAACCAGTGGTTGAATATAAATTGTGTTTTGGATTTTGACTAAGTAGATTTTTTTTTTAAAGCTTTTATTTTCAGAAGTTTCTGTTGCTTTGTTTACAAAACTTCACATGACTAAAACTATATGTTATTGTTTACATATTCATATGTGTTCATTTATTTATTCATCTGGTAATTGTTATCTGCCTGTTATGTACCAGGCACATAACTTATTTCCTTCCTTTTTCTCTACTTTCCTCCCTCTACACCCTGCTCTCTGGTTCTTTTTTCTCATCTTAAGATAGTGATCTTGTACGTACCTTATAGGGTAAATATGCAAGTCCTTGGCATATTGTAAGTGCTCAGTAAATATTCACCATTATAATTTTTCTGTGAAGTTTTCTTGCTCTCTGCATTTTTGTTTCCCAATTCATTTTTCTGTGGTTTGTTTTGGCTCTGTATTTTGTTTGTGGCTTTCCTCAAGTATCTGTTGATCTCTGCTAACAATTTATAGTTAAGAGTGAGGCACTAAAGAGATGAGAGACTTTTTGACATGTGGATGTCACTGTAGATTGATTACATATTGAGTGGTCATTTTTGTTAGTCACTATTCCTAGCCCATCCCACCCCCAATAAAATCATCAATATATAGATTTTTTTTTTTTTTTTTTCTCCAGAGAGACATCCTGGAGTGATATCCTGTGTTTGGGAGCAGAGAGGGAGAGGGATCCTGTGTGAATCTCAGTATGTGCGTATACTTACCCTTAACTTTGCCTCTTTGAGAGTGACACCTTACCCAGTGCCCTCTGCTGTTTGGGTCTCTCTCGTTCAGTTTCTCCAAAGAATAAACCTTTGTCTACTGCTAGACTGGGGGAGGGGTAATTGTCTGATGCTTATGCAGACTTTCATCCAATCCTTTATTTGCTGTCCCATTTCTTACCTCTGTCTCTGTGCTACTTGGTGCTTCCAATTTTGGAATCTTCCTAGTTTCTGTGATGCAAATGTATTGATATTCTCCTGTGCAAACTCTTAGGCTTCAGCTTCCTCTGCTCTCTACCCTGCTAAGTCTGCTTTCTGTCTTAAAAAAAATGGGTTGAGGATGTGGAGAAATAGGAACACTTTTACACTGTTGGTGGGAGTGTAAATTAGTTCAACCATTTTGGAAGACAGTGTAGTGATTCCTCAAGGACCTAGAAATAGAAATTCCATTTGACCCAGCAATCCCATTACTGGGTATATAACCAAAGGATTATAAATCGTTCTGTTGTAAGGACACATGCATGCAAATGTTCATTGCAGGACTGTTTACAATAGCAAAGACTTGGAACCAACCCAAATGCCCATTGATGATAGACTGGACAGGGAAAAGTGGCACATATACACCATGGAATACTATGCAGCCATCAAAAATGATGAGTTCGTGTCCTTTGTAGGGACATGGATGAACCTTGAAGCCATCATTCTCAGCAAACTGACACAAGAACAGAAAATCAAACACTGCATGTTCTCACTCATAGGTGGGTGTTGAACAGTGAGAACACATGCACACAGGGAGGGGAGCATCACACACTGCGGTCTGTTGGGGGGGAACCAAAGGAGGGACAGCAGGGGATGGGGAGTTGGGGAGGGATAACATGGGGAGAAATGCCAGATATAGGTGATGGGGAGGAAGGCAGCAAACTACACTGCCACGTGTGTACCTATGCAACAATCTTGCATGTTTTTCACATGTACCCCAGAACTTAAAATGCAATAAAATATATATTTAAAAAAATGGGTTGACATCTCGGGTCTGCTTTTGTCTCCTCTGCTATTCTTTATGTCTTTCTGGGCATATACTGTTTCTATTTTTTCATTGTTATTTTAATAGATTTTCTAAAAAGGTTGTAGAGATAAATGTGTAAATTTAGCCCTTCATGTTTAACCAGTTATTGATGATCTGGTAATACTTTTTTTCTTTGAATTTTTTAAAGTAATAAACCCTACCCCTGACACCCTACCACTTCAAGTGATTTTTTTTGACATTATGAATTCAGTTAATGTATTCAATATGTTGAAACTACATCAAGCATATTAAATTTCAGGGTCTTAGAAATCAGGTACTGGCAATTATGTTCTGTGTGCATGTACATGTGTGTGCATTTAAAAATTTTCCTACCAGGTACTCACTAAATTTATGTATAAAGAATGAGTGTAATTTTAATTCATTCTTTAAAGAGTTCTTGGTTTTCACCTGTTAATACATTTGCCTCATTTAGCAATTGGAGTTGCTCAGCAAATGAGTAATCTCTAATCTCCCAGAAACTGGAAATAGGGTATTTAATGCGTCACCATCATTAAAGGTTGATTGTATCACTTGCAGGGTTTTTGGACCCTGTGCTATTATGCAGGTTTTACAAAACAATATTTATAACTTTCTGATGATGTTAGCCTCTCTTGCTAAGCCTCCTTTATGTACTGGTTACTGTTGCTATCTATCCATGCTATCTGATAGACATCCAGTAGACATCATCACATCACACTGTGATGATGGAAATGTTCTGAATCTGTGCTGTCCAATAAATATAGTAGCCACTAGCCACATGTGCCTGTTGAGCACTTGATATGTGGCTAGTGTGACTTGGGAACTGAATTTAAAATTTTATTCAAACATGAGCCACATGTGACTAGTGGCTACCATGTTGGACAGCATAGTTATAAAATGTTAGTCTGATAGGTTGTGCTAAGTGTTTTATTCAAATTATTTTATGTTATTTGTTTGAATTAGTTTGGAATAAAGTATTCAACCAAGGGATAAGACATAGCTGAGTTGTTCCAGGTTCATTATTCATTATTATATTTTGAAATACATTTTTCTTTGACTTCCATAAGAGTAAAAATATGCAGATTGCTATTTCAGAATCGAAAAGAAAATATGTTTTTGGTGACTGTGCCATGCCACGTATTTTGAGTATTTTTATGTTCTGATAAGATATTGAAAATCAAAGTGGAAGGTGAAATTGAGCCTTTCCAGTGTTTTCTTCTATCTTACAAGAGAAAGGGGAAGTACTGTTTAAATCAAACCTTGCTATTATTTTAGAATTTTTTTAATTATTGAAAATAGTCATGGTAATGTCTTGGTTTTGTTTTTTTTTCTCATGGTCATAGCTCACTGTAATCTTGAATTATTGGGCTCAAGCTATCCTCCTGCCCGAGTAGCTGGGACTATAGGTGACTGCTACCATGTGCTGCTATTTTTTTTTAAATTTTTTTTTTGAGATGGAATCTTGCTCTGTTGCCCCAGGCTGTAGTGCAGTGGTGCGATCTTGGCTCAATGCAACCTCTGCCTCCCAGGTTTGAGCGATTCTCCTGTCTCAGTCTCCTGAGTAGCTGGGACTACAGGTGTGTGCCACCATGCCTGGCTAAGTTTTGTATTGTTAGAAGAGTCAGAGTTTCACCATGTTGCCTGGCTGGTCTTAAACTCCTGACCTCACGATCTGCCCACCTCGGCCTCCCAGAGTGTTGGGATTACAGGTGTGAGCCACCAGGCCCGGCTCTCAAACTGATCATTGGCTAACTAGACTAATGCTATCAGTTGAGGTCTGTGGTAAGTTGAGTGTCATTTAAAAAACCTTCTTGTAGAAATAAACTCTCACTATGTTTCCCAGGCTGGTCTTGAACTCTTGGCCTCAAGCAATCCTCCCTCCTCAGCCTCTGGAAGCACTGGGACTAGTCTGTTTTTGCATTTTTGAAGTTTGGATGAAAATGATTTGTGACACCAAACTTCTTTGTGAACTACAGATTAATTCAGAAAATTTATTTTGAATCAGGGATGAAGAGTAATTGTAAATGTTCTCAAATTAATCTTTGGCTAACTAGAATAATGCTATCAATTGATGTCTGTGGTAAGTTGAATGTCATTTAACTGGTAAAAATTGTCAGTTATTTTTTACAAAAAAGTAAAAAGCATGGGTTTGGGGAGTTGAAGGTTGCAGCGAGCCGAGATTGCACCACTACACTCCAGCCTGGGTGACAGAGTGAAACTCTGTCTCAAACAAAAAGAAGCATGAGTTTGATTGTAGAACATTATAATTCTGTTTTTTTTTTTTTTTAAGTGAAATATGGCATTTTGGAATATTAGTATAGTTACCACTTTGCATGTAGTTTAGCAAAATATACCATATTTACTATTTTATACAGTATTATTGTTAACTAACAGTTGAATATCATTCAGGCCTTTGAGAAGATATATTAGTTATTTCAAACTCTTTTATTCTACTTAAGGCCTCAATCCCTTCTTAGTTTCTCATTCTCAACAAATGGTTTATTCTTCCATTTCATAAAATATGAGCACTGACGTTCTTGTTCTTCTTTCTTATCAACTTGAAGTCATCATCACTGATTTTCCACCACCTCTTGCGTTACAGGGGAAAAAGTGTCTGTTCCTGACAAAAACAGATCTATCTATTTCTCCAGTTAAGTTCTTACTTATTCTCTTTTTACCTCTTTCTTCTTTTTTTTTTGCGACAGAGTATTGTGTTACCCAGGCTGGAGTGCAGTGGTGTGATCATGGCTCACTGCAACCTCGACCTCCCAGGTCCAAGCAATCCTGCCACCTCAGCCTCTTAAGTAGCTGGGACTACAGATGTACACCACCATGCTCAGCTAATTTTTAATTTTTTTTTGTAGAAATGTGGTCTCCCTATGTTTCCTAAGCTAGTCTTGAACTCCTGGCCTCAAGTGATCCTTTTGCCTTGGCCTCCCCAGAAGTGCTGAGATTACAGGTGTGAGCCACTGCCTGGCCACATGGATCTTGTATATCATTTATTTCACCTTTTTCATGTAATTTCAGCCTATCTCCATTTTTTTTTTCCTTTCTTTCTTTGTTTTGATAAGCTCCACTCTTCTCCAGATGTAACAGAAGGGAAGCAAGCCTTCTCCCTTCCTTTTTCTTCTAATTCAGGCTTTTCGAAAGAACTGTTCATATTCATTTTCTCTAATTCTTTCCTTGCAAGCCATGCTTTGATGTGATTTTGATTCTCGCTGAAGTTTGAGAATCACCACCCTACCCTATCTTTGTGGGTCAGTCAGGAAGTTCACTATTGTTGCTTTGAATTGTAATCACCAGTTATAGGTTTTGGAGGACTGTTAATTTCTACTTAAACAGACACAGAGGAATCAAATTCTGGTGGGGCAGGATGGTGTTTAAACTTAGAAATCATAACTGTAGGTGAATTAATTAAGCTTAAGTTTGGCAGTGAGTGACAGAAACTCAAAATAGTGGTAGCTTAAAAAGATAGTTCACTTCTCATATAAATATGCGTAATCCAGGTCTGGTAAATACGTGATTATCAAGAACCTAGGCCTCTTTACTCTTCTTGTTGCTCTACCATTTGCAACACTCAGCTGCTACTTCATGGTTCTGTTTGGCTGCTATAGCTATAACCATCGTTTTTACATTCTAGTCAACAAGAAGGAAAAAGGAGATACTTTCTCCTTTTAAAGAAACTTCCCAGCAGTTGTCCAGACCATTTAGTCCAGTTGGCCATACCCAGTTGTAAGGGAGCCAGAAAAATAAAAGTTTTTATTTTAGGCAGCCTTGTGTGCAGATGTAGGTTCTACCACTGTAGGGAAAGGGGAGAACATATATGTCATGGATAACAGCCTCTGCCACAATAAACTCTTGGGAGCTTTGGTTGGCTCAATCATTAAACAATATTGCTTAGTAGTGCACCATGAGAGGTTAATTGTGGGAAAACGAGGGAGATTGGGGGAAGGACAACAGAATTAGAAAAATTAAAAATCTCCCCCTTGGCACTCTAAGAGATTCCATCTACTTGGGTAGATCAGACATACATACGTAAGTTACAGAACAATGTAAGAATCAGAGGGTATAACTGGGGAGGAAATCAGACTCATGTGGGATTTAGTTTTAGTGGCAAGCATCCCTAAAGGACTGGAGTTTTGAGAAAACAGATTAGAAGAAGAGAATTGACATACTTTTGGGTAAATGGAGTTCTTTGTATATGATATTAATCACTGTTCAGTACTCTTACCACTTAACAAGTCTTAAGACTTATTTCTAATCTAAAACTGAGGAAGGATTTATAATAAACCTCTGAGAAATCTCTATTGAGTAAAATTATAATATCAATGTTAATTTTTTAATTTATCTCATCTTACCTTTGACTGCTAGTTATAGTACTTTCATAGATAAAAGATTTGTTTTCCAATTTGTGCTAATTAGAACTATTATAATTTATGACCTCCCAATTGAATAATTGAATGATTGTATAGAAATAACACAGTAAATATTGTGAGTAGAGAAAAAGCCAAGAAGTAGAAGAGAGAACGGGGGAGTGGGTTTTGAGTATTGTGAAAAACAGTGGGTTTGGCAGAGTTCACTGGTCTTTAAAAATGAACTAACGTGATATAGTAATACAGTTTTGCATTTTTTAACTTAATATTATAATGTGTACATTTTTTCTTGTGAAAATTTTTCAAAAGCATGAGTTTTAAAATCGATTTTATAGCATTCCATAGTTTGGATTTACTATAATGATTTGCCCCGTACCCTTATTGTTAGACATTTAAATTGCTTATAAAATTTTTATAACTATGAACAAAGTAAAGATAAACCATTTAAGTCTGTAAAAAGTGAATTAGTGAGCATGGAAGCTGCATGTTAGAATATAGAGTATTACTGGAGAGAAGGTTGCAGTAGCGGAGATAGTATTTTGAGTTTTCCTCTAAAATAAGGAAGATGATGATCCTATAGAAAGTAGTGGAATGAAGCAATTAATAGCTTATAAAATTTGGACTTTAGTTGTCTACTTAATATTAAAGCAGAATATAGTATTGCTAGTTTACATAAACGAGTACAGTAATATAAAAGTGGATAATTTACATTTTCTTCCTTAGGTGTACATATGTACTTTACGTTTCATATATTTACTGATGTCTAAATCATACTGATTTTTTTTTTTTTTTTTGAGATAGTCTCACTCTGTCACCAGGCGCCAGGCTGTAGTGCAGTGGCACGACCTCAGCTCACTGGCAACCTCCGCCTCCTGGGTTCAAGCAGTTCCCTGCCTCAGCCTCCCAAGTAGCTGGGACTACAGGCACGCACCACCATGCCCAGCTAATTTTTTTGTATTTTTAGTAGAGACAGGGTCTCACCATGTTGGCCAGGATGGTCTTGATTTCTTGACCTTGTGATCTGCCCACCTCAGCCTCCCAAAGTGCTGGGATTGCAGGCGTGAGCCACCGCACCTGGCCCATACTGATATTTAAGTAGTGAAATGACATTTTGTTTTTGTTTGGAAAACAAATCCTTCACTTTAAATTGGTTCATTGTTTTCTAATGGAGTTTTGTAGTATGAAACTGTTCAGTTTAGAAAAGAAATGCATACAAATTTCTGCTTAAATATGCATATGCTTTTACTGGGCTTATTGTATGTCTCTTGATTTACAGGCCTTTTTGCAAATGTGTAATTTGCCTATCAAAGTAGTTTGTAGGGCAAATGCAGAATATATGTCTCCATCTGGTAAGTGTGTGTTTTTTTTTCTTCTCCGTTAATATTATGGATTGGTAAAATTATAGTGATAGTCCAGTTTGTATCTACATGTTAAAATGCCTGATTTTTTTGTTTACCCTTTGAAGAATCTTTCCATGGTTTTAGAAAGTAACAATTACAAATTTGACAATCTTGGGGTCAGCATATCTATGCGTTTCAACTCTGGTCAGAGATGGTTACTGACATTTGTGGAAATAATTTTAACAGCAAGGGAATTGTTTTAAATAGTAAATGTTAAGGAAATACATGATCTCAGATTTCCCTAGCCTTAATGTATATAAGATTTTCCCTTTGAGAAAACAAATTTTAGTAATAATGAATCCATTTATTATTCAACACATTTCTCTAAATTATATTCTCCCATAATACAGGTGGAAAAAGAGAGATTGTAGAAAAATTAATTTGTCATTAGATCTTGAAGTCATCACTGAATTTGTTTTCTAATTGTTTTTTCTAATGCTTTATTTTAACAGGTTTTGAGATGCTTTAACCTTTCTATGTTTTATAATCAGTATTATCTTTCTGTCAGATTACTGTTTTAAATAGATAATTCAAATAATTTTTAATATAAAAACGTGCTACAAAGCTGATAAATAAATGTTATATATAATTGCCATGGATATTTATTGTAATTATGATTTTGTTGGGGCAATGATAGCAAATAGAATTATTCCTTTTTGAATAAATCATTAAATATAACTGATTGATATAAGTGTGTAACATTGCTTTTTAGAGAGACATTTATCTTTTCATTCTGATATGATAATTTAAGAGTGACTTGTGTTAAACTTTTTTTCACCTTGAGTTCTTAAGTGTGGTAGTAATTGTTAAAAGATATGAAGACACCCCCTTTGTACATACTGAATATTCTTTTATATAAATTTATATGGTTTTAGGGATTTATGAATATACATTTAGAAAACATTTCCATAAGATAATTTCTAGGCTTTTAAACATAAACATATTTTAGATTCTTGGAAGCCGTTCATTGACTCATTCTTTGTGTTGATTTTAAACATAGATTTTTATGAACTACAGAATTCTGAAGAAATAAGTTATATTGTGTTCTGTCCATCCTTTTCCTCTATCTAGTCATACAAAAAGAGTTTATATATTTATGTACAAAGGTTAGTAATCTAATACTAAAGTTCAAATATTTGGCAAGTGAGAAATCAATATAGTTTCCTAAAAGTACTTAGTGTCACTTAGGTAGATATCTGTTTTCTTTTTATAGACTGTGCGAAGGACAAAGATAAATATTTTAGAGACATACAAAATATATACTTTCTTTCAGAGGAGGAGTCTCCTGAAGGCAGATGAGAACATTTTCTAATAAGATATTTAAATTTCATCATATCTCAGATTAGTATTCTTTTTCATTTGACGATTTGAGATGATCAGGGAAATGTTTTTTATTGTATTTACTTCTTTGATCTTGTGGTAGATTTTTAAAGCAGAGAGCATGGAATAGTCAAAAGACCACTTGGTTTAAACTCTTATTTCCTGAAGAGTTGGAAATCTTTAAACTTTCTGTGACTTTGTCACATATTAACTATTTCCTTGAGAAATTTCAGTTCTCTGAGCCTCAGTGACTTTATCTATAATATAAGGGACTTGGGTAAGATGACATCCAAGTTCCTGTTCTTTGCATTCTTTGAATCTGTCAACTTGCTTGGCAACATATTCTTGCTTTCTTTAGAAATAAAAATTTTAAAAGTGATTATTCTGTCTAAGATGGTAACAAAGCCCTCAGTTTTCTTACATGGCCTTTGATTGGTACCAGAAAATAACTGTCTTACTGTGTTTTTGTCTGATACCTGCAATAATAAGGATATAATATTGGCTCCATTGTCATTAAGCAGGCTAGTGACAGAAAACATTCACTTCTAATTTGTTATCTTTATTTTTATATATCTCAATATTTAGATATATATAAGATGAATGCTCAGTTGACTATCCACACTTCTTTCTTGCTTCAGACTTGACAATGCTCGATGTATTTTTAAGAAAAGAAATAAAATACCCTTTTTTTCCCAAGAACCTGACACTGGTGATTAAAAATGAGAAATACACTTTGCTCTAAAAATATTGTACTCCCAATACTCTTTGGTCTAGGTACTAAATAGTTTTCATTCTCAGATCATTTTATCTCAGGGGACCTGTAGTAATTCTGGTTGTATAGTAGTTACAAAGATTTTATCCCAAGTTAAAAAAACAGTATGGCCTACTGCTTAACCAGATAAATTCTTTTTTTTTTTTTTTTTCAAGATTTATAAACCAATAGAAGGAAGGAATGCAGAACTGGCAACAGGGAAATATCTTGTCAATACTTCTATTGAGTTGTTCCCTTTGTAATGTATGTTGTCCTATGGATGCAGATGAAGCTTTTGTTAGGGCTGTGCATTTCATCCATTACTCCTAGGCTGGCTGAGCCAGAGAGGAGTGAATCTATTGAAAAGGAGCAGGAAGAAGCCTGCTGTTAGTGTGAACTCTGTTTGAACTAGGTCTGACAGCAGGTTTCATTCTTTAGCATTTAGAGTAGACCCTTGCTATTTGGAGATTATTTTGTTCTCTCATCTCTAATAATTCCATCAAGTATTAGTGTTTGTTAAAGTGAAACATTTCCTTTTTAATGTGGCATTTGTCTATAGAAGCTGTCTTTTATAAATATACTGTTATTTTTTCCCACATTTTGGGAACATACTCTGTATTATAACTCACCAACTAGCATGCCTTCAAAGATTGTTAATTCTTTTATTTCTTTCTATTTTGAGTCAGACATTAATTAATATACAATTACTTGCTTAAAATGTTGATCTCAATGGATATCAAAGACTTAAAAGATGTAAAAGGATTTCTTTTTCTTTTTTTTTTTTTTGAGACAGAGTTTCGCTCTTTTCACCCAGGGTGGAGTGCAATGGCGCGATCTCGGCTCACTGCAACCTCCGCCTCCTGGGTTCAGGCAATTCTCCTGCCTCAGCCTCCTGAGTAGCTGAGATTACAGGCACGCACCACCGTGCCCAGCTAATTTTTTGTATTTTTAGTAGAGACGGGGTTTCACCATGTTGACCAGAATGGTCTCGATCTCTTTAACTTGTGATCCACCAGCCTCGGCCTCCCAAAGTGCTGGGATTACAGGCTTGAGCCACCGCGCCCGGCTGTTAAAGGATTTCTTAAATGTAGTTTGCAATATAGATTGATCACTGTACTCTGAAAAGAAAGCCCAGTTTAATTTCTTTGAAATTTATCAGTGGTCATGTACCAGTGTCCTGGCTTGGTTCATGTAATTTGGATAATTAATGTTTGCTGCTATATGGTGATATGTTCTTCTTGGCCCTGAAAAAAGAATATTGTGTGATCTGTTATATCTAAATGAGAACTTGGGAAGTGAATTTACTTGTTCTCCTTTTCTAAAATTGGTTAGTAATCAGTGTTTAAAATTTATCAAATTTAATGTACATATCTAACAAATTTTCAAAAATTACACTTTTATGAAATCCCTATTAATAAACATCATATCTGAGTTTTGTGGGGGTTTTTTTAATTATTATCACAAACTTTAACTTACTGAAAGTATTTTTACACTTTTTTTTTCCCTCTCAACAGGTAAAGTACCTTTTATTCATGTGGGAAATCAAGTAGTATCAGAACTTGGTCCAATAGTCCAATTTGTTAAAGCCAAGGTAATAAAAAAAGATATTAAATGCATTTGATCATAGTTACTAAGTCATTCATCATTCTTTAATGTATATTAGCATTTACATTGATTTCAACCTAGTTGTATAAAATGCCAATGCAAACGACTGGAAAATATTTCTGAAGTATAAGTTAGTATTTTTTCATAATATAATGGTGAAAGAGGTAGCTTTTTTTCTTTATTAATGTCAAATTTATTAAAGGTATGTAATTTTAAAATGTAGTCTAAAGAGATGGTTTGATCTTTACAAAATGGTAGATAATTTTGTAACTTATGCTTATGAGAACTGTGGTCATAAATGAAAACTATTAGGTTTTGAAGTCTGGCTGACCTTTGAAAAGGGAAATAAAAGATATGTTTGAAGTTGAATGTATTTATCCATTCTAATGATTATGCTTTTCATTTATTCAGTTTAGATTTTAATAGTTTTTAAGGAAGAACTCCCATTAATGGTTTTGGAAACATCCTTTCAGACTTTTCTTTTTGCATGTATGGAAAAACCTAGATCATACTAGTATGTGTTATTTTTCAACATACCTTTTAAAATCATAGTTTGGAAATTCTTCTATATTAATAGCTGTAGATATATATCATCCTTTCACATTGTTGTATAGTATTCTACTGTATTGGATATATTATTATTTTTTTTCTTCAATACCCTCTCTCTGTATTAGATATATTATGATTTTATTTACTCAAATTTATTGAAGGGCATTTAGGTCATGACCAATTTTTTGCTATTCTAGATACTGAGATAAATTGTCTTGTATGTATATCTTTGTACACTGTCTCTCTCCTTAGAATAAATTCCTAAGAGTGGTATTGGGATGTCATAGGTTATATACTTTTCTTCCTTTTTTTTTAAGATGGAGTCTTGCTCTGTTGCCCAGGCTGGAGTTCAGTGGTGCAATTTCAGTTCACTGCAACCTCTGCTTCCTGGGTTCTAGCGATTCTTCTGCTTTAGCCTCCCAGGTAGCTGGGACTACAGGCATGTGCCACTAATTTTTGTATTTTTAGTAGAGATGGGGTTTCACCATATTCTCCAGGCTAGTCTCAAACTCCTGACCTCCTGATCAGCCCACCTCCACCTCCCAAAGTGCTGGGATTACAGGCATGAACCACCACTCCTGGTCAGGTTATGTACTTTTTAAATCTTGCAGTAGACTGCCAGATTGAACTAAATGTTATACCATTTTATGTATCTCCTAGTTACTATAGTGTATTAGAATTTTTAAATAAATGGGGGTTTCCCCCTTATTTTTGCTAACAGTATTTTTTTCATCTTTGACCACACGTCAGTCTTTTTGTCATTTCCTTTATTTCTAATAAGGTTAATCTCTTAAACAAGGTTTGCCAATTATTCTGTGTTTTTCTTTTGTGAAGTAATTGATAATGTAATTTTCTCTATTGAAAGATACAATAATGAAAAATAAGTACATACTAATATATTATAGTGATAACAGAGTATTAAATATGCTTTTATATAAAATAATTTTTAGGGGGCATTTTGGAAATTTAATGCATTGTATAGTTGCATGTTATATTATTGGTTAGTAAGATAACTGCAAGTTTTTGTACATTTAATATGATGTTCTCTTAAAGTTTTTAAAATTCCCTGTAGGGTCATTCTCTTAGTGATGGGCTGGATGAAGTCCAAAAAGCAGAAATGAAAGCTTACATGGAATTAGTCAACAATATGCTGTTGACTGCAGAGGTAAAATACTAGATGATATGACTTGAAAATAAGCTTTTCTCTCATTCTTTTAAAATAGAATCTTTCTTAGGAGATAAAGTTATTGAGAAATGGGAAAAACAGTCAAGTAATTCTAGAGCTGGGATGGCTACCTAAATTATTTGGTAACATTATCTTTGAGCAAAATACCTGACATTTTCAGTTCTAGTTTTTCTGTTTATAAAAAGGGGTGATTCTTGCCTACTCATTATTTTACTTTGGCCTTTGGAATTTACTTAAATAATAACTGTAAAATACTTTAATGATATTCAGACATGTATTGTGTGGGTAAAAAATATTTTTATAAAGTATCATCATTACATTTAATAATTCTGGATAGCAGCTAAGGAAAACAAACCCCTGTGCGTGTTACTTACAAAATTAGCTTATAAAAAATTGCCTTGGCAAGAAATAACTTTCTTTATCCTTTTTCTCTTTGGTATTCTAAAGTTTAGTGACTGTTTTTTTGTTCCTAGTTGTATCTTCAGTGGTGTGATGAAGCTACAGTAGGGGAGGTGAGTGGTTCTGTAGCATTTATCTTAATTAAAATTTAATGAGAAAACACTTTTGCTCAGAATCGCAAGTCCGTGCTCATAAATAAAACATTGTGGTTTATACCATTAGTGATATAGTTTTTCACTTACTTTAATTTTGCTTGCACATACATTTTAGGGAAGCTGTATGTCATTGTTTGATATAATGGGTTGCAAAGTACATAAAAATTTATATATTTTTAAAGGGCATGGCTTAAAATTTTAATTTTTTAGATTGCAAACTGTATTTTTGTCAGATTGCTCTGTTTATGTTCTTTGAAAATATATTTCTTTTAGAATTCTATTTGTAAAAGCAGGCATTGTTTTTATTAAGGATCATCTTTTTAACAAAATCTTTTTGCTTTAGATCACTCATGCTAGGTATGGATCTCCTTACCCTTGGCCTCTGAATCATATTTTGGCCTATCAGAAACAGTGGGAGATCAAACGTAAGATGAAAGCTATTGGATGGGGAAAGAAGACTCTGGACCAGGTCAGTTCAGGTTGAAGTTGACAAAACCCTCAACTTTTATACATTAAAAGAATCATTATTTGTATTGATACTCCTTTTAAAGAAAAACTTTTAATAATATAACATTTGCAAGAAAACCATTTGCTATTATTTTCATGGATGTAATTTTATTTTTAAAAAAATCATACATGCTTCATGTAAAGCAGATGATATACTGCAGATAAGTGTAAAAAAGCAATAAAACTTGTCTGAAATCTCATCACCTAGAAATTGCCACCCTTAACTATTTGGAGAGCCTTCTTCCAGATGTTTCTTAGTAACATTTTCTCAAATGGGATATTATGCCTGCTACAGTATAACCTGAGGGTTTTTTTTTTTTTAATTGAACAATACATTGTGGGCACCTTTTATGTCACTAAATATAGATCTGCAGCATCAGGGCTTTAAAAAAAAAAGCCCTGTGAATACAGTACTTTATATATCCTTTTTTTTTCTTTCTCTTTTTGCTGTTAAAGTAGCAAAACTTAAAAATACATATCTTGTTCACAAGCATCATTAAGTTAATTAATGTTTGTCTTTTCGAAGGCTACCCTTAATACTAGCCAGCCATCTCACTGATGTGTACCATTGGCCTCAAGGGGGTTTCACTAAATGAATAGGGATAGAATAAATAAAAATCTCTCTCCACTAGTGGGACAACAACTCAAATGTTTTTACTCATGGTGGGTCAGTGGTGTTACCTTTATTAAGCAGATTTTTTGGTACATGCAAAGCCATTTGAATATATGGATTCAAAAAACACTTTTGTTCTTGACAAAATCCTTATAAGTAACTTAAATCTACTTGTATTTTAAAGGAAATTCACTCAAAATTTCTTCCTATTTCATATATGGAAAGTATTTCATATATATGTGGTCTGTAGTCTTATTAAAATATAAAAGGTTAACCTGAATTTATATTTTTATTATAAACTGTGTTACAAGTTACATTTTAGATACTTTTTATTGTTTTGCTAATTTAAATATTTTTCTTTGGGTCTCATTGCCTGTGTTAGGTCTTAGAGGATGTAGACCAGTGCTGTCAAGCTCTCTCTCAAAGACTGGGAACACAACCGTATTTCTTCAATAAGCAGTAAGAAAGCTTACTTCTTTAAAGTTAATTTTCTGTACTGTTAGGTTGCAAATTTCTTTATTTCATAAAAGAATTGCTTTTTCAAGAAAAGATGGAGTTATTTTTATAATTTTCGTACTCAAATATTTTTGTAGCACTTCTTTACTGTCAGGCACAGTGCTAGACTCTAGGAGACTTAAGGTTTCTAAAATGTGGTTCTTGTTAAGAATTTCTCTTAAAGGCAGTCATATAAATTAGTCATTTATGATAAGTTTTGTGTTTTTTTTTCCTTTTGAGATGGAGTCTTGCTCTGTTGCCAGGCTCGAGTGCAATGGCATGATCTCAGCTCACTGCAGCCTCCACCTCCTGGGTTCAAGCATTTCTCCTGCCTCAACCTCTTGAGTATCTAGGACTACAGCGTGCGTCACCCTGCCCAGCTGATTTTTGTATTTTTAGTAGAGACAGGGTTTCACCATGTTAGCCAGGATGGTCTTGATTTCCTGACCTCAGGTGATCCACTTGCCTTGACCTCCCAAAATGCTGGGATTATAAGTGTGAGCCATTGCACCCAGCCTCATATGATAAGGTTTTAATGAGGTAGTTCAAGGTGCTATAAATGGAACTACAAAATCTTAACAAAATGCTAAACTTGTATAGTACTATCCAACACGAAGAATAGTAAGTTACTGTTAATGCAACTATAGTTTTCTATGTAGGAAGATACCTGGAGGACTAGAAGAGTCAATAAAACTAAATAGTAAATAATATTGTTTGATAGACAAGCACTATTATGAACTTATCTTTTAAATGTTAATGAAAATATTTGTAAAACACAGAAATTAATATAAAGGATATAGTTAAATATATGTGTATATATGTAAATTGAATAATGTTTCATTGACAGATCTACTTTTGCAATTTTGAAAAGAATCCAATGAAGGCAAAGAATTAATTTTCCTTTGTTAAAAAATTATCATTTTAATACATCCGAATCAGCTATCGTATGATCCAGTGTAAGATGGGCTTAAAGTATTTTAATCTCAAGACTTTGCCTAGAAAGTCTAACCTTTTCTTGGCATTTTAATAAAAATTATATGCTTTTTAGATTAATAATTTTAAAAAGGCTTTATTTGCTGTTATATGTTATATCCTCATAAACATTCCTCTTCTATAACCATATCAAACATATTTTGGTAAAGATAATATGTAGTAAAAAATGACTAAAGTGATAGTTTGGAAATATTTAAGTTACATATACTATATATAATTGATACTAAAATCTGGGGTCTGTTGATCTTTTAAGCAGAAAGGTCACAGAATTCAAACCGTGAAATTCTGGTAGGTAAAGTTTCTACAATTTAGTTCCTATTTCTAGTGATGTTTGCTATGCAGATTCTATTTTTCAGTCCCTAACACAAGAGAAATGTATCCAGATGTTAGTATTATGTGGTTTCTTTTCTTTCTGATATAGGAATTCTTAGGAATTGAAAATCTCAGAAGGGACATGTTTTATTGAAATGCGTTATATCATTTTACAAGTTAGTTTTGTTATGCACATTGTCTTTAGAGGAGGCTAGAGAATAGATCTAACTTACTTTTCTTCTCAGTTAAACTCATTGTCATTATGTTAGTAACCAGAGTTTGGCATGTGACTCAACGGAAATATCAGTTATATTTAAAATTGTAATGAAAACTTCTAACTTAGAGCAGTTGAAACACCAAAGACTTGCTTTTGAGAAACTATTTAACTGATACTGTGATGTAGATAGAGTTTTGACATAATTTTCCGTTACATAATACTTAAACATTTTCCCTAAAAATAAGATTAAAGATAAAAGAGATTTTTTTAATTTTACTCGATCATTTAATTGATACTAAAATGCAAATAGAGTACATTTAGAAAAAAGTAACTGGTATTTCACTTTGTTGTGCCAGCATTTTTCTCATTCCTTTATCTGTAGCAGGAGTCATTACTTTGCAAGATACTGTGCTGAATAGAGCTCTGTTCTCAGTCAAGATGCATAGAAGTATACTGCAAGTCAGAGGGTCTGAATTCTATTCTTGGCTCTGACATATCTCTAACTCTAAGTTAGTCTAATTTCTCTGTGTATCCACCAGTCCCTTACCCCCTAAAATTAGAATTAACTTTCCTTCTAGCTCACCTACTAGGGATGTTGGGAGGACTCATGAAAGAAACCAAATGCTTTTACTTGATGAGAGAAAGGAAAAGGGTAGTTAAGGGAGATCTTACAGAAAGAATAATAATTGGGAAAAGAGGCCAAAAAGCAAGGGGATTCATTTACAAAACTTGAGTGATAATCCTAAAGATAAGTTATTGGTATATAAAGAAAAGATACATGGATTATTTCTAGTAGTATGAAGAGATAAAAAGTTAATCATATATTGGGAAAGAACAATTAGGAAATACACCCAGACAATATTAATGCTTTTGCAACTAGATGATACTATGAAGGTATCAGAGAGAAGGAAATGTGAAATAATGAATAAGCAAAGCAAAAAAGATGAGTGCCAGAAAAATCTTAAATGGAAAATGTTAGAAAAATGCTGAATTTTGCTGTTTTTATTTTGATATTCAAATGAAAAAACAGTACGTAGAAAGAATAGTAATATAAGAAGGCATCAAATTTCTTAAGACTTTAAAAATATATTTGTTACCCTGGAATTTTGTAAAATAAAAAGTCTATAAAGATAAATGCAATAATGTATGAAACATCTTAGAGCTCATAGGAGGGGAATTGCTGTCTGTATTTGAATTATAATCACAGACTATTTGGTAAGCAGAGGGGTAGAAACTTAGGTTTTCTCTTCACATGGTATAGCAAGATAATTAAAATTGGAGGTACATGAAGACCTTGACTAAACAATTCAGTAGAAATACTGGATAAAGTATATATTTTTTGTTCTTACCTTTTATGTGAATTGGACATATTTTTCTAAATTTGTTACTTTTTGTTAAGTCAGGTTAATTGATGTGTAATTTATATTTAGTAAAATTGGTACTTTTATGTGTGTAATTCTATGAATTTTAACAAAGGCATACAATTGTATAACTGTCACCTATCAACTAAAATATTTGTACTTTTTAAAAAGAAAGACTTGTTGGAATCCGTAATTTATATATGTCAAAGTCAGTATAAGGAGTGGCTCAAATTTGGAAAAATTACAAAAAATATGCTTTAAAAGTTAGATGTGTGTGGATTTATACAGTCATGCCCTGCGTGACAGCCTTTCAGTCCATGATGGACCAAATATGATGATGGTCCCTTAAGATTGTAATATCATATATATACTATACCTTTTATATGTTTAGATATGTTTAAATACACAAGTAGTTACCATTGTGTTACAGTTGCCTATAGTACTCAGTACTGCAATGTGTTATACAGGTTTGTAGCCCAGGAACAATAGGCTCTACTATATAGTCTAGGTGTGTAGTAGGCTATACCATCTAGGTTTGTGTAAGTAGCTTCTATGATGTTCACACAATGAGAAAATTGCCAGACAATGCATTTCTCAGAATGTATTGCTGTTAAGCAATGCACAATTGTATGTGCTTTGGTTTAATCTATTGAGTTCTACTTCTGTTGATGTTCTAAAGTAACTTGCCACAAAGTTGCTATCTTTATGTAAAATCAGATCAATTTTTATATGCTCATGGCATAGGTAATTCAATACCTCTGGAGTTATGTGGATATATATTTGCAGCAAATAACATTTTGACCACTTCAGGGGTTCTTCGGGAGCACTCATTTAAGCATACATTGATACTTGAACTCTTTCAAAGCCTTTATTTATTGATAAAGGGTATCCATCTATACTACTGGAAGATCTATCAGGGAATATATTAACTTTTTCAGGCTCTAGTGCAAGAAGCATAGGGTAGCTGGCACTAAACAAGAATTAGAAAAATAAGTTCTAAGTTGGTAAGATAGGATGTGCCTTTTAAGAAATATGTTCAGGGATGTGGAAGAGTTGGTGTTTGTATTATTCTCATCAAGCACCTCAGCTCCACAATCATCCATTCTGTGTCCTTGGTTTTTTGCAGGGATCCATTCATTATTGACTCATCCCTGGGATGATAGGATTATGGTGCTGTTGAGTCCAAGAACCCTTGAGATATTTTTTTAAAAACTGTATTGTTGACTACCTATTTAAACATGGCCATATATTACACATTTGACTTTGATTAATACTTTATGAGTGTGTCAAAACAGTGGAAGGCTTTCAAGAAAATTAAATTACTGCTATTGAGATAATAAAATATTCCACACAACTTAATCAGGATGCTTTCTTTTTTATTTCATTTATTTATTCAGCAAGTGAGCAAGTGCTATTTCAGTTCCTTAGATACTGTGCTAAGAACTGGGAGTTCAAAGATATATGCAGTGTTGCCTTTAAAGAGCTTGGTGTGTAATAAGGAAAACAGTTAAGTGAACACAGTTATAATGTGGTAGGAGAAGTGTGTCACCTTTTTAGTGGTTCATTCAATGCAAATTTATTGAGAAATTGCTTTGTGGCAGGAATTGTTCCAGGTATTGTGGATATAGCAGGAACCAAGTAGGTGAAGTCCTTTCTCTACAGGACTTTCTGGTAGAGGAGATGCACAATAAGCAAAAAGTAAGATTATATAGTATTAATTGCCACATGTAGTATTAAAAAAGGATCTCATGATAAGGAGTGACTACATGTCCACTTTAGTTTGGGTGGTCTGAGGAGACTTTAAGATGTGCCATTTAAACCTTATTCTAAAAAATAACAAGCCAGTGTGAAGTCAGAAGAAGAGTATTTTAGGCAGCAGGAATAGTTGGAGTCAAGGTCCCGAAATTGGCTTGAGTTTGTTGTTCAAATGCAAGAACCCAGTTTGGGTTGTGTGCTAAGAATGGTGAGATACGAAGCTAAAGAGGTAGGCAGAGGCCAGATCATCAAGGCTCTGTATGCTTGGTGTAAGGAGTTTGGTATTTTAGTATAAGGAGAACAGAAATCCATTCAAATATTTTGTGCTTAGAGTTGGTATGATCTGCTGACATTAGTCATTCTGACTATGGTATGAAGAATGAGTAGAAGCAGGAAGACACTTTAGGAGGCTATCACAGTGGTCTGGGGGAGAGGTGATGGTAGTTACACTGTGAGATCATAATGAAGAATTTTAAGTGGTGGCATTCAGGGCATATTTTGGAGGTAGTGTCTCACCAGATTTGCTAATGGATATAGGAGGGTAAAAGAAAGGACTCAAGAGTAGCCCCTAGATTTTTGGCCTGAATGGCTGGGTGGAGAGTGGTGCCTTTAATTTTGGAAAGTTTGGTGGACAAACAGGTTTGGGATACTGTAAATTACTGCCATTGAGAAAATAAAATATCCCACACATCTTAGAATGCTCCACATCCTGCTCCACAGATACTCTACGTTGAAGTGGAGATGTTACGTAAGCATTTAAATGTATGAATCCAGAGCTCAGGGGAGACATTAGGACTAGAGATAAATATTTAGGAGTCAGTGGCATCAAGATGGTATTTAAAACCGTGGATCTCTAGGAGATTATTTATCAGTAGGGATCAAGGCCACATAGTTCATAAGTGATAGTATTGGGATTGGGATTCAACTTTGGATTTTTACCAACCCCCAAATTTATTCTACCAAACCAGATTTCTACAGCGTATTTTTACATTTATGTAGGCTAGCACATTTTCTCAAAAACTTTATCACAATGGGACTCAGAGTATTAATTAGCTCATAATTATGATGGCACTTTCTTGTTTTAGTAATATTGCATTAGTAATTATTTTAATATAATGTAGATTGGTGATGCCCTACTTGTAGATCATTAGTAGTGGGATAAATTTTATTTTGTTGTATATAGTATATAATTAAAGAGAAAAAAAAACCCTAGAAATTATTATGTTGAAGCCGTCCTTATGATTTTGTCTCCTTCAGAAATCTAAGTCACTTTAAATGTGGTAAAATTGAAGTTATATTGTGTTGTTGATTTATAATTGGGTATCTTTTTTTGATCCTATCACCACAGTGAAATCTTTTGTGCTTTGACAGCTCTTTGTTTATACATCTATTAAAATACTTAATAATTTTTTTTTGAGATGGATTTTGTTCTTGTTGCCCAGGCTGGAGTGCAATGGCTTGATCTTAGCTTGCCACAGACTCTGCCTCCCAGGTTTAAGTCATCTCCTGCCTCAACCTCCTGAGTAGCTGGGATTACAGGCATGCACCACCATGCCTGGTTAATTTTTTATTTTTTAGAAGAGATGGGGTTTCTCCATGTTGGTCAGGCTGGTCTCCTGACTTCAGGTGATCCGCCTGCCTCAGCCTCCCAAAGTTCTGGGATTACAGGCATGAGCCGCCACACCTGGTCAATAAATTGTGTTTATTAAAACAACTTTATAATTTATGTTTCATGTCCATGAGAGTATTTTTCTTGTTTTTGTGTCTAGCATCTGGTATAGTTTCTGGCACGTTGGAGATCTGTTATGTTTATTTAGTGACTAAAGTAATGAACTAAATGAATATGATCATTACATCTATATTATTTTAACACAAATATTGTTACTAAAGAAAGCAAGTCACACAACTAGCAAATCATATATACATATTTTTTATATAACAGAAACTTTGTTTCTTGTGTGGCTTTTTTCTTTTAAATTGATGAATGAAACGATTTAAAAAAATATATCCACAGAGGTCTTTTAAATATCCACAAGACATTGTTTCTGGGACCCCCACAGATACTAAAATTTGCAGAGTTCAAGTCTGTTATATAAAATGGCATAACTGCTTATGTAAATTTAATGTTATGAGAAAAAATAAAATTGTGCAGTGTTTGCATATAATCTACCTATATCCTCCTGTATATTTTAAGTCATCAGTAGATACACACAATCTCTAAATGCTATGCGGTAGTGTGATCTTAAGCCATCCTCCCACCTCAGCCTCCCAAGTAGCAAGGACTATAGGCATGCACTACCATGCCTGGCTAATTTTTGTAAATATGAGGTTTCACCACATTGTTCAGGTTGATTGTGAACTCCTGAGCTTCAACAGTCTACCCATCTGAGCCTCCCAAAGTGCTGGGATTACAGGCATGAACCATCACATTTGTCCTGTATTGTTCTCTCTAATCTTTTAAAGTATTTTTGATCTGACGTTGGTTGAACCTGCAAGTATGGGACCTGTAGGTGAAGAGGGCCAACTGGATTTTTTAACGTAAGAGTTAATTGCTACTTACTCATGTTACTCTTATTTCTACTTTTAGGCCTACTGAACTTGATGCACTGGTATTTGGCCATCTGTACACCATTCTTACCACACAATTAACAAATGATGAACTTTCTGAAAAGGTGAAAAACTATAGTAACCTCCTTGCTTTCTGTAGGAGAATTGAACAGCACTATTTTGAAGATCGTGGTAAAGACAGACTGTCATAGAGTTATATGTTAGTCTCATTAAGTCTAATTTTTGACATATGTTTTACTTGAATGTTATATTAGATATTGGTATCAGAATTTTAAAACCAAATTACTGTTTTTTGAAACCTCAAAACAAATTATACAATTTATCTTATATATGTGCTTTATATTGTTACTTGTGTACACATTAAAATAATTCTGAATTATTTCATTTGATATATTGTATTCTATGTCTTGAAATTTTTGTTTCCTTGAAACATGCATGCATATAAAAATAAAGCTTAAACAACTGTATGGATGTTACATTTACTTTCTTTTGATTTTTCTGAAAGTCATTCACTGAATTTTACACCTGTAGAATAAACAGTGTCTTTTCTAAGGCAAGTAATTTGTGTTACATACTCCAAGATTCCCTTGCTAGATATATGGTGAAACTGATAATGGGGAAAAATGTTCTTAGCAAGTGTGCTCTTAGAAAATATGGATGGTTTTAAGGTAATTAAATCTTGGTGCAGATTTGACATTTAAGAACATTCTTTATACAGAGACGTAATTGAATTAAAAAACATTTCGTTAGAGCAGCTGTGACTTACATTTGATAAAGGAAACAGTTGAGGGACCATTTTGAGACAAGAACATTTTAATAATACTCTTTTATTCTTTTGTGGGAAAGGGAAGGTAATTTTCACAAAGGTATTGATAGGATTTTTTACGTAAACTCTAAGGATTATATGTTGTGTTCTTTTCCAATTTTCTTACGGTTTATATCGTATAAAACCAGGATGCTCTAAAGAGTCAGATGTAAAAAATTATTTCCTAAAAATATCTAGAATAATAGTACTTTTATATTTTCTTTTTATGTACCAGGGAATTTTAACTCATTTAATCCTTATAAAATAGTATGGCTTTGCAGACACTGCTACCATCCGAAGGCACCTGTGTCAGCCATGGTCCGCCCCATGTTCTCCCACATAGCTGTCAAGGAGGAGCTCCACATCTCCTTTGAGTTGTTTGCAGGCACAGTTCCAAAGATAGCAGAAAACTTCTGTGCCCTGAGCACTGGAGAGAAAGGATTTGGTTTAAGAGTTCTTGCTTTCACAGAATTATCCCAGGGTTTATATGCCAGGGTAGTTGACTTCATGCCATAAAGGCACTGGGGGCATGACCATCTATGGGGAAAAGTTTGATGACAAGAACTTCATCCTGAAGCATACAGGTCCTGGCATCTTGTCCATGGCAAATGCTGGACACAGCACAAATGGTTTCCAATTTTTCATCTGTAGTGCCAAGACTGAAGGCTTCGATAGTAGGCATGTGGTCTTGGGAAAGGTGAGAGACAGGGTATGACTGTCATGGAAGCTATGGAGTGCTTTGGGTCCAAGAATGGCAAGACCAGCAAGAAGATCACCATTGCCAACTGTGAGCAATGCTAATAAATTTGAATTTTGTATTATCTTAACTACCAGTCCATTCCTTCTGTAGCTCAGGAGAGCAACCTTCCACTCCACTTGTTTGCAATATTCTATAATATTTGTGCTCTCACAAAGTAATACTTTGGGTTCCATATATTTTTTTCTTATTCCCTTCTACATCTAGCTAGATTGAATGAATAAATTTATGATTATAAAATAAAAACTAAACAACAAAGACAAAACACTGTGAAGGTTATTATTCCCAGTTTACAGATGAGGAAATGGAGACACAAAAAGATACTACCTTGTCTGAGGTCATAAAGTTGGTATATGGTAGAGCTGGAATTCACACCCATGCAGTCTGGCATCACTTTGACCTTCTTTTTTAGGTTTTCTTTTTGAGACAAGGTCTCTGTCACCCAATCTGGAGTGCAGTGACATGCTTATGACTAATTGCAGCCTTCACCTTCCCCTGGGCTCAGTTGATCCTCCTGCCTCAGCCTCCATGTAGCTGGGAGTCCAGGTGTGCCACCATGCCTGACTAATTTTTTTATTTTTTTGTAGAAGTAGTATTGCCCCATATACTAATTTTTGTATTTTTTTTTTTTTTTTTTGTAGAACCGGAATTGCTCCATGCTGCCCAGGCTGTTGTGGAACTCCTGAGCTCAAGTGATCCACCCACCTTGGCCTCCCCAGACGAATGCCTGTGTTGGGAATACAGGCGTGAGCCATGGTGCCTGGCCAAGTTTGGCTTCTCATCATCATGCGTTTTTTTTAAAGATAGAAATGTATGCCATATAAAAGATATATTAGATTTGCCTTAGTCTAAATACCATGTAAACTTTGAGTACTGTCTTTGGACTATAGTATTCTTGTTAGCTTTACTGAGCCAGTATTGTAATGTGTATTATTAAAATAAAAAAATCCCTAGCTACCTGTGTTTTTGTACAATTTTCATGACACGTTTTTGTATACGTTTTTGTGTTCTTGTATCTAATGATGCATTTCTCTTTTAATGCTACCATCACATTTATTTAATTGTACAAGTACCATTTATACCTTAATAGGCACAATTCTGATTTTTTCTTTGAGATTTTTTTTTTGAGAGAAGGAAAGAAAAAAAAAGTGAAGGAGAGGAAGAAAGGAAGAAAAAGAGGGAGAGAGAATGGAAATGTTGCTTTATTCTAAAAAAATGGGTATTAATAATGGCCAATCAATATTTCATTTAAACCTATGAGTAGGTGTGATGTGGTATTGACAAGAATGTATATTTTGTGTATTTAAAGTGGAGAGCTCTATAAATATTTATTAAGTTTACTTGTTTCAGATCTGAGTTTGAGTCCTGGATATCCTTATTAATTTTCTGTCTCATTGATTCTAAGTCTCTATGTATCGTTAGCTCTTATTGTTGCATTGATCCTGTATCTTTGTTGCTTTAAAATATATTTTATCAGATACGAGAATTACAACTCCTGCTTTTTATTTATTTTTGCTCTCCATTTGGTTGGTAAATCTTTCTCCATCCCTTTGTTTTGAGACTTTGTGTATCCTTGCATGTGAAATGGGTCTGGATGTAGTGTACCATTGGGTTTTGGCTGTATCTTTTGATTGGGGGATTTAGTCAATTTAAATTTAGGATTACTGCCATTTGATGTTAACTGGCTGTTATCCATTCGTTGATGTAAATTCTTTATGTTGATGCTCTTTACTTTTTGGTATATTTTTAGAAAGGCTAATACTGGTTGTTTCTTTCTATGTGTAATGATTCTTTCAGAAGCTCTTGTAAAGCAGGCCTGGTGGTAAAAAAAAATCTCTGAGTAGTTGCTTGTTCATAAAAGATTTTATTTTTCCTTCAGTTGTGAAGCTTAGTTTGGCTGGATATGAAATTCTGGGCTAAAAGTTCTGTTCTTTAAGGATGTTGAATATTGGCCCCCCACTCTCTTCTGGCTTGTAGAGTTTCTGCTGAGAGATCTGCTGTAAGTCTGATAGGCTTGCCTTTGTGGGTAACCTGACCTTTCTCTCTGGCTGCCCTTAGTATTTTCTCCTCCGTTTCAACCCTGGTGAATCTAACGACTATGTGCCTTGGAGTTGCTCTTCTTGAGGAATATCTTTGTGGTGTTCTCTGTATTAACTGGGGTTGAATATTGTCCTGCTTTGTTAGGTTAGGAAAATTTTCCTGAATAATATTCTGAAGAATATTTTCCAGCTTGGATTCATTCTCTCCGTCGCATTCAGGTACACCTATCAAATGTAAATTTGGTCTTTTCACATAGTCCCACATTTCTTGGAGACTTTGCTCATCTTGTCTTCTCGTTTTATTTCATTAAGTTGGACTTCGACCTCTGATATCCTTTCTTCTGCTTGAACAATTCGAGTGTTTAAACCTGTGCATAGTTCTCAGAGTTCCTCCATTGTATTCTTCAGTTCCATTAATTCACTTACATTCCTCTCTAAGTTGTCTATTCTCATTAGGATTTCATCAAACCTTTTTTCAAAGTTCTTAGTTTCTTTACATTGGGCTACAACATGTTCTTTTAACTCACAGAAGTTTCTTATTATCCATTCCCTGAAGTGTGATTCTGTTAATGGGATGTGCTCCTTCTCCATCAAGCCTTGTTCCCTTGTTGATGAGGAACTGTGATCCTCTTTAGAGGGAGAAGCATTCTGATTTTGAGTATTCTCAGCCTTTTTACGCTGGTTTCTTCCCATTGTTGTAAATTTATCCACCTGTCGTCTTTGTAATTACCAACTTTCAAATTAGGCGGACGTCCAAGTTGTTAATTCCCAGGGCCAAAATATGAGCAACCCACTGCGCCGGCCAAAACAGCAGCGTTAAGATTGATGGTGCTTTTCTGCCTGGGAATCTCCAGTCTGCCTTCCTTCTTGAGTCCGTAATAGGTGACTCTGCCTTCCCAGAGCTCCAGAAGGGGAACCAGCCCCGTTTACTCTGCACCAAGAGCTGCCGCGCTGAGGTGCCGGCAAAACCGCTGCACTGGCCACAAGAGTCGCGTTGGCAACCTGTGGGGCTCCTCCACTGGGAATATTCTGCTCCATGAGTGACAAAAATATGTCCGAAAGTGTGGCGTCCTCTCGTTCTCTGCGCTTTCACTGGGAGCTGCAATCCCGAGATGTTAGTGATCAGCCATCTTGGATCGTTCCTCTTCTTTGAGATTTTTTAATATAAAGATACAAAGATGCTATGTCAACATAGGTTGTGATATTTTATTTTATTCTTGAGACAGGATCTCACTCTGTTGCCCAGGCTGGTTTCAAACTCCTGGGCTCAAGTGATCTGCCTACTTCCACCTCCCAATGTGTTAGGACTAGAGGCATGAGTCACCACACCCATCCTGGTTGTGATATTCTAATCTTAATGATTATAACTGACTGTATTCTTAATATGAGGAACACTGGGAAATTGGTTGTTTATTCCAAGTTGACATGCTTACTCTTACTTAAGACTTATAGTATCCGGCTCACTTATTTAAGACTTACAGTATCCGGCTCACTCGCAGAGGGCTTCTTTCTACTGTTGAGGTAAATCACCTTCCGAACAATGCAATAGAAAATGAAAACTGACATCTCATTTTGTGATTCAGTTGTTTTTATCTTTTAAATTTTAGTTTGGAAAGCCAAGTCACAATAGTTAAAAATTATCACTGTAAAACTAGTTTATTGACAAATGTTTTGCTGCCAAAATACTTGCATATTTGTGAGTTTTAAAATAAGCACATGCACCCTTATTTAAATGAAAATTTAAATTACAAGCAGTTTTTTAGAGTGATAGTTTTACATATGAGAAACTTTAAATCAACAATGTCTACAGTATCATATTTGATGACTTAAATGATGTATATTACTGTGTTTAAAATAATTTTATCT